AAGGAACAAAAAGGGCACACCCTTCTGTTAAGGATATTTTCTAGGTCTTGCATATAACATTTATGCTCACATCCCATTGGACAAAGCTTCGTCCAAGGCAAGACAGGCTGGGATTTTTTTTTTTTTTTAAATTTCAGGTGGTCTTGTGCCAGCAATAAATATGGGGTTTAATTACTAAAGAAGAAGGATGAAATGGATATTGGTAAGGGTTAGCTATCTGGTAGCAGGGACTTTGCAGCAAGTCCAAAAGGATAACAAGGTGAGCAGTAGTCTTTGCAGTGATGCTGCCATCACTTAAAGAGAGAGTACTTTTCATTCATCAAGTCTGATCTTGCCATAGTGCGCGGCTGTCTTGACTCACAACCAAAGCAAACTCTACAATATTTCATGAACAATGAGACCTTTTGAAAATTTATGTTAGTTTTATTCTCATATAATCCGCATAGAGGCTACTTTTCTGGCCCAGGTTTTTCTTGGTGAGGTATTCAAGAAATACCAAGGCAATATACAAAAACTAATTGGAGAAGCAATTTGAATATTTTGTGAATTGATTTGACAAAGGCCAAAGTGAATGCATTCATAACATAGTGTAGAGCTTCTTAAAAACATCTCCCAATTGTCTCAAAATCTCAGACACACACACACACACACACACACGCCACAGCAGGGACGCCCCCTGTTGAACTCCCCACAACCTTCCCCCTAGCCTAGGCATGGCTGGCTTTTGTTTTCCTACCCTTCCCCATTCACCTGATCTCTTCCACTAATTACTGCCTGCCCATTCTTTGTAAAGCAATCAAACCAGTCTCAACACAATTCTGCACCTGACCTATTGCCCCAGTTCTCCAGGAAGCAATATAGATTAGATTAAATTGCTCTTAATGTTCAAAGGTCTAGAAGAGCCTGTAATTTTTATTTATTAATTTATCTGACCTTGGACACATAATAAAACATATAACTCTATAACCCCTTACATGTAATTGCAAAATCTAAATAGCTTCAGAAAGAAAGATTTCTTCTGGTTTATTTGTCAAGCCAAACCTGACCTTTGTGAGGGCATTTATAGTCTCGATAGCCCACTCGGTAGAAATAATTTTATACTTTGTGGAGAAATATTAGTAAAACAATATTATAAGCAATATAGGACCTTTCTGAAGTCCTAATAATTCCGAATCAGAAGTAAACCATTGAGATGGAGAATCACTTGCAATTATTTCCCATGACAATGCTCTATTTTATGCCTATGTGGGAGTAGACAAAATGTTCTTCCACTTTTTAAAATTATTTGTTGTACAAACACAATATACATTAGGCACTGTGAAATATGTGTGCCTTAAGAAGTTGAACATGTGGTATGTTAAGAAAAATTACTCAGAACTTGGAACTAGGTAAAAGAGATCACTGGAGAAAGTTTCCAGTGGATTACTAAGTACGGTCTAGCAGACCCTCTCTAGGGACTACCATTTCCCCAGAAATTGCACAACGGTGTGTAATTCTGTTTCATTTGCTACTAACTATAAAAAGTAGAAGTCAATTTATAAAAAACAAGAATGCAAGTGATTCTTTTCTGAGAACAATACAAATGATTCTGATCACAGCAAAGCAAATGGATTTTATCCAGTAAATTCCTTTTCATCAGTTAGAAAAGCTGATTCCAAATAGTAGTTTGTTGCCCTAATATTAAACAGTTTTGCATCTACTGGAAAAGTGATTTCAGAATGCCTTTGCCTGACTGACTACATTAATCTCTGTTCCTCAAATTCTTCTTTGAACTAGGTATAGCATCTTAATGGTCCCTCATTCATTGAGTTGAGTAAAATCTCTGACACATACTCATTTTATATTTACATACCAAGTCAATATACAAAAACTAATTGGAGAGCCCTGACCAGTTTGGCTCAGTGACTGGAGCGTCGGCCTGTGGACTGAGGGGTCCCGGGTTTGATTCCGGTCAAGGGCATGTACCTTGGTTTCGGGCACATCCCCAGTGGGGGGTGTGCAGGAGGCAGCTGATTGAGGTTTCTCTCTCATGGATGTTTCTAACTCTTTATCCCTCTCCCTTCCTCTCTGTAAAAAAATCAATAAAATATATTTTTTTAAAAACTAATTGGAGAAACAAATTGAATATTTTGAGGATTGATTTGACAAAGGCCAAAGTGAATGCATTTATAACATAGCGTAGAACTTCTTAAAACTATCTCCAATTCTCTCAAAATCTTACACACACACACACACACACACACGCACACACGCCACAGCAGGGACGCCCCCTGTTGAACTCCCCACAACCTTCCCCCTAGCTTAGGCATGGCTGGCTTTTGTTTTCCTACCCTTCCCCATTCACCTGATCTCTTCCACTAATTACTGCCTGCCCATTCTTTGTAAAGCAATCAAACCAGTCTCAATACAATTCTGCACCTGACCTATTGCCCTAGTTCTCCAGGAAACAATATAGATTAGATTAAATTGCTCTTAATGTTCAAAGGTCTAGAAGAGCCTGTAATTTTTATTTACTAATAAGCATTATGAATGTTATTAAGTATGGGAAACACCTTTAAAAGGTGTTTACTCTCTAGCAACTCACATATCAGTTGACCAAAGATAAGCTATGGAAAACCTATAAAGGCAGTAAGTATACATTAAGTGATAAATGATAAATGATCAGGGTGGATTTGAGAGGCTGTGGTCAAGTTTCTGGATGGCTGTTCTTCTCATCGATTCTGCATTGCTTTCCATTCACTTGGCAGACAGTTCTGCTTTGCATTCTGGAGTGCAGAGGAAGGGAGGGAACAGACCAATGAGGCATGCTCCCTGTCCTGGAGTCGTTAACAGTTAACGTGGGAGAAAGATATGAACAAGTCATTTCAAAGTAATGCAAATTGGTGGAGAAGAGACTCAAATTTGAGGCCTTACTGTGTCCCTTAGACTTTATATTTATTACAATTTTTGGACTATTTTTTTTAAACCTAAAATTGGGTAGGGATTTTACCACGGAGCATGGACAACCAGCTAATTGCTGTAACAGTCACGAACAAGGAGCTATGAGAACCCCAAAGCTAGTTTACATACAGGACTTTGGAGTTCTTCTCAGGTTTGGCATACACCGGGACCAGCTCCTTGCTTGGAAGCCATAAATCGGGAAGATCAGAGACAGGTAAGGGTAGCTGACTTCCCTGGGCGTTCAGTCTTCAGTGTGCTCACAGCCTGGAGAGAGCTGGTATTTGAGACAGGGGATGAGGTAGTCCCTAGAGTTGGGTTTTACCGGGAAAAGCATCAGAGATTGCCACCCCTTTTCTCCACCAGCAACGCTAGATAGAGTTGCAGAAGGTGGACTTTAAACAATGGCAAATATTGACAGAAGTGAAGGTCATGGCAAGACCCTGTCGCCCACGTCTGTCACGGCAGGCTAAGCCTGCACTTCAAAGGGGCCGGTCAGCTGGATTTGCATGAACAGAACCTAAGCAATTTCTGAAATTGAGTTTTAAAACTGGCAGTTCTTTTCCCACCCCGTTATGTTTTTGCAAAGTCCTCTCTGTAGCAACTTCATACAGCTGTTCTTCATTTCCTGTTACAATTTCTTTCTTTCTTTATTTTTTTTCTCTTTGCATTCTTTCCAGGGAAGAAGAATCAATACAACCCGTTCTCTAGGAGGGAGGTGGTTGGACGGTCTGACCTTTAGCGGCGTTAGAAGACCTGTTTTGATCCAAACCAGATGTTCAGGCTGAGTTACCTTCGGTCTGAGTCAAGCAATTGACCACAAGATGTCTTTTCGGTTTGTGTGCTATCTTGTGGTTGTGTGGCTGGTTTCTGGCTCAGATGGTACGTATGCTTTTCTTACGCGCAGTTTTCAAGGCACTTGATTCTCAGTCTGTGGGTTGGGAGGCATTCTGTCTAGGATTTTAATGAAACCGAAATCAATGAAATGCATTTGTCGTCTTGAAAAATCTCAGGTTACTTGACTGAGTTCTCGTGCTCCAAAGGGGCTTAGTAGTTATTGACTAAGTCTGCGCTCTAAGTGGGGGGCTACCTGGTTGCTTCCCCTTCTGTTCTAGGAGCAAAAACAGTATCCGTTTCAAAATCGTCACTGGTCTTATACAAACTGCAGGAGTGCCTGTTGGGAAGGGAATTGCTCCTTTAGGAGTGGATAACTTACGGCTGAATTTGAGTGAAATTCCGGCTACCCTTCCGAAAACAAAACTTTGGGAATCGCAGGGTAGGGAGGGATGTGGATGTACACATGGCAGAGTACAAGGAATGAGAATCAATAATCCAGCAAAAAGAGAGTCAGATGCGGGGGATCGAACGAGGGCTTCCTCGCAGCCCCTGAGGTGCCAGTGGGTCGGTTTCCTTTTCCCTCCAGCAGAGAGCTGTCCGGAGCTTCCCCCGGTGGACAACAGCATATTTGTTGCCAAGGAGGCGGAAGGACACGTTCTGGGGACCTACGTTTGTATCCAGGGCTACCACCTGGTAGGCGAGAGCACCTTGTTTTGCAACGCCTCCAAGGAGTGGAATGCCGGTCCCCCCAGGTGCCGCTGTAAGTTTCATCTTTCTGCTTCTTTGTCCATCTTGTCATCCCACTGTATTCTTTCACATTCGACCTCCAGGAGTTCACGTTAAAACTTCGTCAGGCAAAAATCCCAACTTCTAGGAATCCATTTGTAAAGCGCTCTAGTTGCGGGAATTTTTTGAAGGTACCTAATCAGCTCTGAATAGACTCAACCACCCCTCCAAGAAGGAAAGAATCTCCACCAAATAGTAAAATGACTTTTTTTTGAGGGGGGGGGGCGGGGCACTGTGATATCATACTGACTTGCAGTTTTTATATTATGAAGATTTTAAATGTATACAAAAGACGGGTGAGTAAAATGAAGGCGTGGTTACGTATCACCCAGCTTCAACAAGTATCAGAACATGACTGATCTTTTTTCCACCTACAATTCTGCTCTGCATTATTATTACTTGGAGGTAAATCTATCGTATCATTTTACGTCCTTCATCCTATAACTTTGAACTGAGAAAAATTTATGTCGTTAATTTATAAACGTGATAACTGAGATCCATGTGACTTGCTCAAGTTCACAAAACTCATTTGTGGTGTCTGTAGAGATGGAGCAGAAGTAGTCCGTATTCTCTCTGTTATTACTACTTTTAGGAAGAGTTGGATCGATTCTCCTTTATTCCCAGAGTAAAGAACACCATCTGATCACCTTTTATTCATATGACCAAATTCACATCTCTGCATTCTCTCCTGTTTAAATATATTTTTATTGATTTCAGAGAGGAAGGGGGAAGGAGAAAGATAGAAATATCAATGATGACAGAGAATCATTGATTGGCTGCCTCTTGTACAACCCCACTGGGGATTGAGCCCGCAACCTGAGCATGTGCCCTTGACCAGAATCGAACCCGGGACCCTTCAGTCTGCAGGTCAATGCCCTATCCACTGAGCCAAACCAGCCAGGGCTCTCTCCTGTTTTTATGCCGGAGGAAACAAAATGAAGTAAAAAATGATACTCAATGATGACAGAGAATCATTGGCTGCCTCTTGTACAACCCCACCGGGGATTGAGCCCGCAACCTGAGCATGTGCCCTTGACCAGAATCGAACCGGGACCCTTCAGTCTGCAGGTCAATACCCTATCCAAGGAGCCAAACCAACCAGGGCTCTCTCCTGTTTTTATGCCGGAGAAAACAAAATGAAGTAAAAAATGATAAGTACACGTATATATTTGGCTGGATAGACAAGAAGGAAACACTTGCCTCAAACACAGGCTCGAGAATTTTGAGCAATGCTTTACAGACCAGGATGATGAGCTTGCCATTGGTAATTTCCAGTTAGATGCTTAACTATTTGTAGTAAGTTCAAGTGTCCATTGTCATTCTTGTGCACGACCAAGAAGACCTTTTCACTCTTGGTCCTGCACAGAAGTGACAATGACCAGAGTGACACTCGGGCCAATCCAGTCTTTTCTCACCCTGGTTGATACCACTTGGTATCATGGTCCCTGTGAAGGAAGTGCAGTGTTAGATCTTATTTCTTGTTTTCTCAGTGAAGCGCCAGGAGGTCTAGTGTTCGCTGTGGTGGGTTTCATCCTGGCCCTTTCAGATCACTGCCTGTTTTCTTCTTCAGTGGGCCACTGTCCCGACCCTGTGCTGCTGCAC